TTTTGTATATGAATGAGTGAATGAGTTATGACTATTAGAGCTAATGTAATGACATTATTGTCTAAAATTGTTGAAAAATAAAATTTTCAAGTATCTATATCTAATTAATATAATTAAATTTTGATAGCATTAAATGTCACAATCTAATTGTATCTATATCAGCTGTTTATTAATTAATTATTGAATTTTTAAATATATTAAGATTTATTATTTCCTTATTTAAATTTTTTAGGCATTAACAATAAAGATTTTAAGGAAATACAATTAATCTTTTCTGAAATTTATCAAAACCCAAAGACTGAGTAAATAACACTTTTCAGCAGAGCATACTTTATTTTTGAGTTGTACTTGTATTAATTTAAATTGTATTTTATATACATATAGATTGATTATTTAATACGTTAAGATAAATAATATGTTTTTATAACAATTAAATATAAAAAATTCAATTACGACTCCCATGATAAGAATAAGATTACTTAATTAAATATTAATTTAATATATGATTGAAGGGAAACAAAAAAAATTTTGGCTAATTAGTAAAAAGAGAAAATAAAAAACTAAAGTTATTTTAAAGAAAACACTATTGAGCTCTTTATTTTATTTTTTCAATTATTATTATATATAATTCATAAATAATAATTTACTATTGTAAAAACAAATGAGGTAATTATATAATATTATGTTTGCTTAATTAATTATAATTCTTCTAGCCCTTATTTCAAAGTTTAAATGGTAACATTTCTTCGTGATTATTTTTATCCTCTAAATGAGAATAAAACGATAAGTTGTACGTAATCAAAATTCTTGAAATACAAATTTACATTTTAAAAACTCGATTGAATACCTTAAGTGATTCTTAATGTTTGGTAATTGAATATGACCTAACAGGAAAATGAAGTACAAGCATCCATTTCATAACTTTAAAAATAATATACAAATTTATTTATTTTTAAAAAGCATTTATTCTAAATATTGGCTGTCCGAAATCAGGAATAGTCAAATAACTTCGATTAAAGTGGTTTGCGTTTGACAACTAAAGATTTAAGTAATTAATTCTTACAACATGACTGAAATTAAACGAAAAACATTTTTAAAAAATAACCTTAATGCATTGTCAGGATATGTGTCTATTACAAACATAGGTTTTAAAGGCAAAGCAAATTTTATCTGAAAGTATTTTAAATTCAAATTTAGATCTTAGATTTAAATAAAACTTCTGTTGCTGTTGATATTTTGGTTATTATGAAAATCTTACTCAATTGGGATATTAAGTCATTTTAGGAATAAATGGATCATTTTAACAATTAAATGATAATTAATTCTTTTAAATTTTTACAAGCGAAAACCTTAATTACATATCTAGATCTAATTAGACACTTGCAAATTGCTTTTATGGATTGACTATTATAATTCTGGAAATTTTGATTTCCTGAATTCAATACAAGAGAGGTCTAAAACAAATTAATACAATTACAGCATTCAAACAAGTATTAATTATTTATAAATTTATATAGATGGAGGTGTAAGCTACAATAGTGTATTTTTTATTGTGATGAAAATTTCAACAACTTTCTTCCCTTTATTTTTAGAAACTATCAATCAAATTAGTCAAAACTATTCCTTAATAAAATTAAGCAAAAATAATCATTTCTAATTAAGAAAATGGTCAGATGTTTTAATCTATTGGAGAATTTTAATTAACTGTTGATAAATCATTTGATAAATTTAATCTGTTTACTTTATTGCGACTTAATACTAATTCAACAATATAAAGCAGTTTTAATAAATTTTAGAAATCAATAATATTAAAATAATTAAATTTAACTCATTAGTGTGATTTAAATTTAAATCAAATCAACTTTTAATTGGTTCTATAAAATATGGATGAGACCCATTAGGTATTAAAAATTACTATTTCAGAGTTAAGTTGTTCAGTGTCACATATACTTTATAATTAAGTAAAAGAAGAGCTTAAATTATATGAAATATATATACAAAATTGATGCTTAGATTAACATCTAAATTTTCTTTTCATGATTGAAATAATTTGGAAAGTCTTTAATTAAAATTCAACATATTTTTTTTAATGAAAAATAGATAAATAAATTTGAATATTATGACATCTCTTATAGACATCATTAATTAATACTTAACTAAAATTTGTAGATGTAGGGGTTTTATAACTTTTCATTGATATATAAATATATTTTGATGTTATCTTCAAACAAACAGAAATAAATATAGATGATCATATAGATAGGTTAATGAAATTATTAATCTAAATTTGAACCCTTATTTGATTTAAACTTGATGAATAAGTAATAAAAAATAGTGTTAGTTTTTTCTAGAAATACTATTTGGATTTTTATTGCTTTTTCCTGCTCAATACAAGTTTTGAGAAAAAGAGATTTCCTAAATGTATAATGTAATTTAATAATATCAAATCTTTTAATCATTTTTTTTAAATAATCTTTTTATTGATTTTTTTTAATTTTACAAATTTAAACTTCTAACTAAACCTAAGTTAGATTTTTATTACAAAATTTAATTATTTTATACCAAATGATAAATGAAAATATCACAAAGAAATTAAGCCAGTAAAAAAAATAATTCATATGATTTCATCCTATATCTTCATTTGATTCCCAAATTTATTTGAATCTTCAATTGCCTTAATGCAATTCAACGAGAATTTTATTAAACAATTTTGAAAATGTAACTTTTTAACTTATGTCCCAAAATTTATGCATGCAAACTAATTAGACTTTATTATAGAACTTAATTTTCGAAATTAGGGCTTTAAAGGTGACACTAGGCCTTTATATAAGAAATAAAACCCTCTGCTTAAATAGTTGGACATTTTTATCTCCTTTTTAATAAGTATCAAATGCTTCCTACTTTGGTTAGTTGTTTATATTTCCCCCATTTTCTTTTTTTCAAAATAGAGGATCTTACTCTTTATTTTCTCTGCTTTACTAAAGATCTCTATGTCTCTTGGGAGAATTAATGATAACCCTTGGTAGTGTATTTAATATCTTACTAAAAATATTGCCTTCAATATTTTGGTCACTAAAAAGAATATGCGGCATAATTAATTACTAATCTATTTTTAAGTTTCCTTATAAAGTCTTAAATAATCAAGTATTTCAACTTAGTTTAACAACTTAATATTTTGTCTTATATTTTAAATAATTCTATAACAAATGTAAAACTTCAAATTATTCATTTAGTACAAAATATCATTCCTCGAATGATTTAATCACATAACTATTGACCAAGTTGAAATTGATATAATAATAATTTTTATAACAATTTTGTAATTTGAAGTTAATCGAATTATGAAATCTTTCTTTAAACCTACTTAATATTTCAATATAGTTATAGAATTATCCAATTTTCTTAGAGATATGTATACTAGTGAAATTATGTGTTAAGGGCAATTGTTATGTTGCATGACTATTTCTTTAGCCAGACCATAAACTAAAATGAGAGTTGATCCTATTCATTTTTTATATTCAAAATATCAATAATTGATTTTTAACTGCTTTATTAATAAATTTAATTCATTTATTTGATAATTTTCAAGTTAAATATGATTAAATTGTTGAATAAATTAATTTCAAATATCTAGCTTGAAACTAAAATTATATAAATAATATAATTGATTCTTAAGCAAGTGAAATGATATTCTTTGTTGAATATAAAAACGAATAATTTAATTTAATATATATAAATATATATATTTAATTAATAATTTTTAATAGAAAATGGAATAGTAGGATATAAAAATGTGTTAAAAACATAAATTAGAAATAATTTTAGTTGATTTAGAAAGATAGATTGCTTAAGAAGATAGATGTTTATGTGTAAGATGTATAATAGAAAAAATGAATAAAAAGAAAATGAATTAAATTGATGAAACAAAGAATATGATTAAAGAAATGAAAATAAATGAATAAAATCAAATAATTAAAGATAATAAAAAGAGATTAGATAATTTTAATG